CAACCTAAGAGCGATGGTCTCCAACCTAAGAGCGATGGCTTTTAACCTAAGAGCCAAGAGCTGGAACCTACTAGCAATGGCCTCCAACCTAAGAGCAATGGCCTCCAACCTAAGCTCCACACCTACTAGCAATGTCCTCCGACCTACTAGCACTGGCCTCCAACCTAAGAGCGATGTCCTTGTGCTAAGAGCGATGGCCTCCAACCTACTAGCAATGGTCCCCAACCTACTAGCAATGGCCTCCAACCAGAGAGCGATGGCCTTCAACCTACTAGCAATGGCCTCCAACCTACTAGCAATGGACTTCAACCTAAGAGAGTGATGGTCTCCAACCTAACCTAAGAGCGATGGCTTCCAACCTAAGAGTGATGGCCTCCAGCCTAAGAGCGATGGCCTCCAACCTGAGAGAGCGATGGTCTCCAACCTAAGAGCGATGGCCTCCCACCTACTGGATGGCCTCCCAACAAAGTGCGATGGCGTCCCACCTAAAAGCGATGGCCTCCCACCTACTAGCAGTGGCCTCCGACCTAAGAGGGATGGCCCCCACCTAAGTGCAATGGCCTCCAACCGACTCGTTTTGAGGTTCAGCCTGGAGCGAAGTTCGCCTCCCTCGCGCGGCTCATGTGTCTGGGATCATCGATGACGGGCGCTGGCCGATGAGGGGCGCGGGCCGTTGACGGGTGCGGAGGAGAGCTGCGGTGAAGCGAGCGGTGGAAGCGAGCTGTGTTGGGAAGGACAGGGCGGCCATGGGTCAAAGTAGGTTTCCAGCAGGTGCGGCGCTTGCAGAATGAGGATGGAGGACTGTTGCACGGGTTGTGTGACGAGTCATGATTCTTCGAACACAGCTGCAGCCAGAACCCCCTTGAGGTCTATAGCTGTAACTTATCCAATTGCTTCCAATTGGTGTTGCAAAACCTGTTCGTGCGCTTTCCAACACAAAAACCTTTGTATGCAGGACCCCCTTCCCCTGAAACATCCTGAAGCACAATTCCAAACCAGCTACTCTTCCTCTTGTTTCCACCGGATACCACCGGTCCGAGTCTTCCATCCGAGGTCCGATGGCCGGGGCTTTCCACCGGGCTTCCGCATCGATCGAATCCACGCGCCCTTGGTGCGCGAGACCTTCCTCCACAACGGCCTTTGGGCTCAGATCTATTTTTTCAATCTATCGGTACCATCGCTACTAGAAGCAAGGATGCTGCTAGGGGCTCCTGGCCTTACTACTAGTAACAAGAAGTTATTAGGGGCTCCTGGCATCGCTACTAGGAGCAAGGACGCTACTAGGGGCTCCTGGCCTTCCGACTACTAACAAGAAGCTACTAGGGGTTCCTGGCATTGCTTCTAGGAGCAAGGACGCTACTTAGCCACGAGTACCCCAGTGTCATTAGCAGGGACCCAAATAGCTTTGGGGTAGTCCTCATACTCCTGGGGGCTCCTGGCCTTACCATTAGTAACAAGAAGCTACTAGGGGTTCCTGGCATCGCTACTAGGAGCAAGGACGCTACTAGGGGCTCCTGGCCTTACTACTAGTAACAAGAAGATACTAGGCGCTCCGGCATCGCTACTAGGAGCAAGAACGCTACTAGGGGCTCCTGGCCTTACTACTAGTAACAAGAAGTTACTAGGGGCTCCTGGCATCGGTACTAGGAGCAAGACGCTACTAGGGGCTCCTGGCCTTACTACTAGTAACCAGAAGTTATTAGGGG